TGGACTGGGCACGTGAGTTTGGACAAGTGGAACGGCAACCGCTGGGCGGGCTTCCCAGTTTCAGGGTTTCTTTGCATGGTGGAAATAAGTGCTCAGGCGATTGCACAAGTCCTGATGCAAAAAAAAGGTTGAGGGTTCATGCTGCATGCTATGTACAGTCTGGTAGTCCTGTGGGGAGGAAGCTCGCGGGGCTTGAAGGGCGACTGACTGCGCTGGGGAGAGAGAGAGAGAGAGGGTTCAAGAATCGCCGCAGGCCAGTAGCACAAGGGTGTAGCATTCAGGGTTGAAGGTTTAGGGTCAGCATGCTTGACCGAACCATCTACCGACAGAAGAAGCACTCAACGAACCAGAAGATAGCAGCTGAATGATAGCATAAGGCGGGGAAAGCAATCGAGTGGCAAGGGGATCCCCATCGCAAAGAGCGGCAAGTGAAGCCTTCAACCCCAGAGCCTTCGAGTGGCGTCGTTCGTTCTTTTGTGGTCCTCGCTTCTAGCGGTCCGAACTGAGGAGCTCACTAAAGCCTCGGTGTTTAGGCTTTAGGGATAGGGTCTTGGGTGAGGTGAAGGCTTTGTGTTTGGCTGCGGTTGAGGTTTAGGGTTTGGGGGTTTTAAGGTTTAGACTTTGAGTTTCATTCAGGGTTCAGTCCCAGGGGCCCCGTAATCACAAGGTCTGAATACCATTGCAAATTAGTGAGGCCCTATGTCATGGAACCTTGTAGAAGTACCCTAAACCTTAAACCCGAAACCCGACATCACGGGACCTTGTAGAAGTACCCGAAACCCGAAACCCTAAGCCCTTGTAGAAGTCCCGGAGACCGCGGTTCTTTGCGTGACAGGCGGCTGTGGCGACCTTCACCGGGCTCTCGCGCGGCGTCTGGGAGCGGCGTTGGGAATCGGGCGCTTAGGGTTTAGGATTTGTAAGGGCTTTTACATGGGGTTCTGTCGGGGGTTAAGGGTTCAGGAGTTTGTATCCGAAATCTTGGTGGAATTCGATCGGGTCCTGCGGTTTAGCGCCTCGGGTGCGAAATTCACGCACCAATTAGGGTCCTCTGGGATACCGGATCGAGGACATCTTCATGTCGGGTTGTTTCACTCCGCATTTGCTGGGTTCAACCAAGAGACGAATGCCTGAGTCCTGGGTTGCGCCAAACTCCAGGTGGAGTCTCCAGGAACAGAAACTTGGAGCTCTACAGCCGTAGGCAGAAGACACACACACACACACACACACCGCCAATCAGGAAAAATATATTGATTGAGAGTTTTGGGTTAAGGGTTATAGGTGAGAGTTTCGATGCCTTTTTCATTTTCTTGTGTTGTGTCGGTCTTGTCCTGAAGCATGGCCGTGGTGGGTTCCGCGGGTGTCACCACTGACGATCAGACGAACGCAGCGGAGCGCCGTGCCGGAGGTGAGTTCGTTCGTGGGGTTTCAAGCGCCCGGTCGTTCATAGGCAGCGAAGAGTTTCCAGCAGAATCCGACCGATACCACTTGTATATTGCCTTCAACTGTCCCTGGTGCCACCGGGTCGCTCTGGTTCGGGCGGTCTTGGGTCTCGAGGATGCGATCTCCATGGATGTGTGCTTTCCGGGGCGCACCACAAGCGCTGACGAGCGAGGTGAAAATCTCTGGCGCTTTGCTCCCGAAGGGGCCACGGGGCAAAACGGTCGCCATGTCACCTTCCCAGAATGTACGACCGACACCGTGGGTGGAAAGAAGTACATCGTTGACATCTACGCCGAGTCGGGGCTGGAACAGAAGTCAATACCCATCTTGTACGACAAGGTGTCCCGGAAGGTGGTGAACAATGAAAGTGCGGAGATCATGCGCATGTTTGAGACCGTGATGTTGCCATATGCAAAGCGCCCCCTCGAGTTGTACCCTCCGTCTCTGCAACAAGAAGTCGAGGATACCAACACATGGTTGTACACGGATATCAACAACGGGGCCTACAAGGCGGGGTTCTCCTCGAATCAAGACGTCTACGAGGCGGCTTTTGCGGCTTACTTCGCAGCCCTGGAGAGGCTCAATGGTTTGCTGGAGGGCAAAAGTTTCATCCTCGGCGATGCAGTGACAGAGTGTGACCTGCGTGCCTTCACGACACTGTGGCGCCATGATCCCGTGTATCACAACCGCATGAAGCTCAACCAGGCTTTCTTGTTCGAGTATGCCGGGGTCTGGAAATGGATGGGCCGCATGATGGCTCTTCCAGGAATCGAGAGTGTTGTGCATGAAGGCATCCTCGCCCACGCCAAGCAGGGATATTTCGGGCGAACGGGCAATGGCACCATTCCCATCGGCCCCAAGGGGTATCCGCAGTGCTACGGCAAAGCGCGGCCGTGAACTCAGTGCCAAGGAGGCACCCTAAACCCCAAAGCCTCAACCCGAAGATCCCTACACAGCAGTCTGGACTAGTTTTCAATCCTCTGGTCCCAGATGTCGGGGTAGGGCCTGGTAGGGGCCCTGAGCTCCAAATCTGCAGACCGGAAGTCCTGAAGCCTGAACCCGAAGCCTTAAACGCTAATTACCCCCCCCCCCCCCCCAACAAAAAGCCCCAAACCCTAAACCCTAAAGCGCCACCCTACACCCTAAACCCTAAACCCTAAACCCTAAACCCTAAGAAGCGCCTCGTTGAAGCACGGCCGTGCGACAGTTGAAGGAGGGACTTACAGCAACTCATCTTACTCGCTTCCGGAGAGAGGGGTGGAAAATCGGGCCGAGTCGTTGCTGAAATCCAGTGGCACAGCCTTGAGGATCAGGTGGGTGGTAGTGGTTATCGGGTGTCGGCTTTGGCTGATTCAGGCTTGAGGTCAGAGCCCTGTTTCTAGTATAATTTATACACCGAAATCCCGTGCCACGACAATTCCTGATTATAGTATAATCAGTATAATCTACACCAAAAGCCCTATGCTAATTATGCCGGCGCCTACATCAGAAACCCGAGGTTTTCGATCCCCAAACGGCTAAGCCCAAAAGAAGCCCGCGTCTTATTTGTATACACCCCTTCTCCCATAGGGTTTAGGGTTTAAGTCTCTTAGTTTTGGTTTCCAATCCCCTGAAACGAGGGCCTCCCTCTTATCCTGAAGGTTTGGGGTTTAGGGTTTTGGGCTTCTGATCCAACTGCAAGTGCTTGAAACTCAAACTTAGGTTAGGTTCTAAGTAGCTCAAATCACCAAGCGACCTGTTTCCCGGTATCCATCAACCCTGACCCTTAACCCCTAAACCCTGAACCCCTGAACGTGTGAGGAGTGAGCGGGGTTGTGAGCCGATGTCGGCGGACGGAAAAGTCAACACAACTTTTAAAAAAACCTAAACCGATTCAGCCCTAAACTCTAAACCCTGGACCTTAAACCTTAAACCCTGAACCCTAAACTCGTAAACCTCAAACGCTCAACTTGGTTCCAGGAGCAGAAGCTCATCTTCTCGCACTCTGCGCTCCCGCAGGACAAAGCTTACTTTCCGCTTGGCATCGAAATGGAGCCAGACTGGGGTTTAGGGCTTCGCGGTGTGGGTTTCGTGTCTTGGGGTTTAGGGGTTTAGAGTTGGGTTTAGGGAGAGTTAAGGTCGGCTACTTGGAGGATCATGGGACTTAGTAAGTAAGGTTATAAGTCCCCTAATTGGGGTTATAAGTACAGTTACCTTAGTTATAACCCTACTTACCAAGTCCCATGATCCTTTAAGTCCCCAACATAGCCCTGGCCGATCGCAGAGGATTCTGCATCAGCCCCGCCATACTGGGCCCTGGCCTTGGGACAGAAGTTGAAGCCCTAAACCCTAAACCCTAAACCCTAAACCCTAAACCCTAAACCCTAAACCCTCGAGTTCCGGGTTTCGGAGCGTAGGCTTCGAAAGGGAGCATTTTGTTAAGCACTCTCCTAGTTTCGGGGGCTCCGGTTGAACGTGCTTCGGCTTCATTCTGAAGCCTTGATCCCCAAGTCCTAACCCCCACATAACCCCCACATAAACGGATTCCGGCAGGTTTCGGGTTTAGTGCTGCTTCCCAGCTCAATGGCAGAGTCTGGAAACCCTAAACCCTAAACCCTAACCCCTTAAAAAAAAGGGCTTACAAGGTCTGCAACCTGAATTCTTCCTCAACCTCTGGGCATTGTAGTCCCGAACTTTCAGGGCGTCCTGCTCGGCGGCACTAAACCCTGCAACCCTTTAGCCACTGGGGGTTTTCAGAAATTTACGGCTATCTTACTTTGGGTTCCTTATACCCAGGATCCTGATAGCTCTGAACAGGTTATATGCACCGAACCCCTCTTGAAAGCCCAGAGTGAAACTTTGAGAAGCTCTTATAAGCCTTAGCCGCAGCCAGAGGTGACTGAAGCAGACAGGTGCCTTTGCCGCCTAGCCCGGGGGGCTGGGGTGCCTCGCTTTCTGATGAGGGCTTCGGGGCATTTGAGGTTTCGGGTTCAGGGCCCCCTAAACCCTAAACCCTAAACCCGAAACCTAGGAGAGTTGTGGAACGAGCCAGCGGTGTCGGGTCTGAGCTTAGAGTGTACCCAGAGACTCCAATACCCCTTTTTTAAAGAATATACCTTAAATTATAGTAGGATACCTAATATGATTTAACGTATATTCCTTAACTAAAGGGTATTGGAGTCCCTGGGTACAGATCTCCAGCTGCAGGCTTCGAGTGAATGCGCCTCTGCCCTTACAGTTTCAAGCAAACACTCAGATGGTCTGTGGTTCCAACTTCTTCGGGCATGCCTAAACCCTCCCCCGAAGCCCCAATCAGCCTGTAGCGTGAAAGTATACAGCAACTAGAAGTTGGGAACTGCTCTGTGCGCTGAGAAAGCTGCGCAAGTAAAGCCCAAGCCCACTACGCGCCCATGACAGCCTTCAGGCGCTAGACCGTTGTCCTTGGATCTATATTTATTGTGGTGAGAATAATTATTGTAGATTATTATGTATGTCCTTGTTTCAAATTATATAAATCGATTAACGCTGAAAATACAGGCTTTGTAGCATCAGCCCTCTTGGTGGTAGGGCCCGCAGCAGCCATGGACGCTGGGATGATCTCGGAGTCATCGCAGCTCGCTCCGGTGACGGAGGCCTCCTCTGGAAGATGACGCCTTCACCCCGTTTTGGGGCGGATTTATAGGCGGTTTCTGGCGGCTCCGTCATGATATGAGTGAAGGATAGAGTAGTGCACTTCTCTGGTTCACGGCTGACGGAAAGCAGGGGACCCGAATGAGTATGGACCCTAGACAGAAGGAACCTTAAAATAAAGACCTCCCGCAGAATCGTAATTACCCCACATTTTGTCGAGAAGCCCCAGACCCTTTCTTGCACAACCACGATACAGAAGCTTCTATTGAATGGTTGGAAAAGGCGCGGCAACACTTGATGGCTTGGGCCGTTTTGGAGGCTCCTCTTACCCTACCCTAAACCCAAAATCCTAAATCCCTGGTTCTAGTGCAGGAAAGCGAGGAAGGTCTCTTCAGCTTGGATAGCGAAGACGAGGAGGTACCGTCTCCGCATCGGGCTTGCCCTAGGGGTTTTAGGGTTTAGGGGCTTGGTTGAGGTTATCGGGTGCAGGCTTAGTCGTAGTGCGAGGAAGGGTATGAGGACCTTGGGGATTTTAGGGCGCGTACTTTGAATTAGCAATAATTTTCCCCCATCCCTCCATCTAGCTTTACACTGAAGATGTCGGTTCTCTCCAAGCTTGGGTAGTGATACGGTTTGTGGCCTGCGCCTCGCGGCCTAGTCTTCGTGATTTAGAGTCTAGGGGAGTTATGGGAATCGTTGCTACAGACGGCAAGACAGGTCCAGCAACTTGCAGGAGCAGCATCCCTAGACACGAAACTCTATGCAAAGCCTGCTCCCAGCACCCCGAACCCCAACCTAAAGCTTCTAATCTAGGTTTCAACCCGTCACACCCAGCCTTCAAAACCGCAAGCCCTCAACAAAATCTCGAAACCTTATGCCCCTCAACCATCAGACCCTTCATAAAACGCTGAAATGCCCATATCTTACACCCGGCAAAGCCTTACACCACCCGTGGTTACGCAAGCCCTTTCTAGAGCCCCCTTTCAATCGCATATAAACTGCTAAAAAAAACCATTCGAGCTACTCCAGGAAGGCCTGGAAAAGGTCGAATGTCCGAAGCGCGCGATGCCGGCGAAGCCAGGCGAGCGCAGGGTCCACACTGTAGAGCCCCTTCTTCAGGGTTCCTCATTTTTTAGGGCTCCTTATCATTAATGTGATACTTCAGCAACTCCCCAAACCCTACTCTAATTGCTAAGGCGCCTTTTTTGTTCCTGCACAGGAGATGCTGTGCCGAGGGGTCTTCGAACTACTTACCTCATCTGGCTAGGTCTTGGCTGTTCCTTTCTCAAGTCTTCTGGTTTGTTGCCTTCGTCAGAAGCCCAAGATCGTTAAGCACAGTGGGGAAAGGGGTGTATAGTGTCTTGTGTGCCTCCATTCTAAGCTGACCCTTGGCTGCGGAGCCATGCCCCTAAACTCAAACCCAAACCCCGAAACCCTGAAAGGCTCAAGCCCTCATATAGGGGCCTACATGATTACATATATCGGTGTCCTCAGTATAATATACCACAAAAACCTATTCTAATTATTAAGGCCCCTACATTGGACCCCCAAAGCCCCAAAGGCCTTGGAGGAGAACCCGAAACCGTGGGTCTTAAACCCACGGGAGAAGCCCTTCAACACCATGGACGCTCAGGCGTGCCGCTCTTCGGGACTATCCACAAAACCAAGGAGTTCGACGATGAGGAGCTGCTTTGCTCACAGCAACAAATCGGATCCTGATGTCTGCCATGGATCTTAATATGTTTCCGGTTCGCGCGATAGAGGACGGTCTAATTTGCTGTTTGGTTCGGTTCGCTGGGACAGGAGTTGAATGGCGTGTTGAGCTTTGAACTGCAGTTTTGGTATTGTGGGTTTTGAGCCGTGAGGATGGATGCCTTGACGGTCCTGCAGCTTACTTCGCTGTCATATAAAGCTCGTATGAAACCCTTTGAGAAACTTCCTCCATCTCTGCTCCACTCGTGCGGGAGCGTGGTTTTCCAGGCCTTTGCATGAGCTCCTGGTTCCACAAGGAGAGTTCGGAGGATTTAGCCTGCAAAGTTTAGGGTTTTAAGAATTCGTATAGGGCAGCAGCCGAGTCCCTTGTGAAAAAGAATTCGTATCTTGGGGAGAGTTACTTGTTGAGGGGTTCAGGGTCTGCTTGAGGGTTGCGGATCAGCAATTGTGATGTGGTTCAAGAAGAGAGCACGCAGGTAGTTGGACTGTGGGTTTTCGGGCTTCAGGCTCACCTTGACATCCAGTCTGAACCATTGCCATGGTCGAAGGATGCAAGAAGCATGTGCAACAAGTGCTATAATATCAGAATCAGCAGCGAGAACAGTAGCAGCGCATGGGCAGTGGTAATACTCGGAAGGAAAACCCAAACTACGGAGCCTTGCGCCCGAAAACCCTGAGCCTTGAAGCCTAGGTCGCACCCTAAAACCCCAAAGCTCTACACCGTTATCAGCCTAATTGATCCTGATTGTCCGAACGCCCAGAACTTTCACCAAAGCCGCCTGAGGTCCCAAGCGGGCTCCTCCAAGACCCCGGTCGTGTGTGTGTATATATATATATAATTATATTTATATATATATATATAGATAGAATATAGATAGAGTATATACACATACGTAAGTGTATACATAAATACAGCATATATGACTAAATTCGTACGTGCCTGCCTGCCTGCAAACACCTTTATACAGTACCCTTAACCCGAAACCCTGAAACCAAAAGCTTTAAACCCTAGTCATGAGTTAGAGTTTGGTGCCGGGGGCCTAGGGTTCCGAAACTTCTGAGGTTAAAGAACATGATGAAGATGCAGCATGTAGAGGCACTGAAGAGCCGTGAAGAGAGAGAGCGGTTTGTCGACTTGCGGTTCTTGCTTAGAGATTTAGGGTTTAGGGTTTAGGGATTAGGGTTTAGGGTTTAGGGTTTAGGGATTAGGGTTTAGGGTTTAGGGGTTTAGGGGTTTAGGGTTTAGGGTTTGGGGTGTCGGAATTAGGCTTTAGGACGTGAGGGTTTGCAGGTTCAAGGAATTCTTGGCCGGGGGGTTGCAGGGAGGAATGGGGGTTTGCGTTCAGGATGGGTTCGTATGGGGCTTCTGATCTGAAATTCGGGAGGCCTAAGGACTTCACGGATTTAGGGCTCAGTGTTCTTTTGGATGATGATTTTAAATTAAACCCTAAACCCTAAACCCTCGGCTCAAGTTTCGGCTCAAACTGTGTCTTTGGTGCCTCTCTTTCTTTTATGCCCCCCAACGTTCAGATTAGTTTCGGTACTTGGGGTCCTTCTGAGCTTAGGAAAGCGGAGGCTGATAAACTACCTTGGGGATACATGCCCTCCGATTCAGCTAACCTGGCCGCTGCGCTGCGAACCGACCCTTCTGCTATGCCCACTTCCACCGCATTGCCTCCGGTAGGGGGTAAAACTACTGTGGCTAGGCATACTCAAGCTTTGGAATCTGGCAGTCTGAAGTCAACGGAGCAACCTCGAGTTAGGAAGTACAGTGTACCGGAAGTACCTGAGCTTAAGAAGCCCAAATTGGAACCGACGGATGATGATGAACGAATGCCACAGGGTGAAACATCAGTAGGAGCACCCGTTGACCCCGGAGATTCCATAGGCAGCGAAGGTGATGCTGATATTCCTCATTCCCCGAACTTTGCCCAAGCTGCAGCTGAGATCCCGCATTTCGATCTAACCAACGACGATGAAGAGACACAAATAGGAAACCCAGATCAAACTCAGGCGGATGATGAGCTTGATCAGAGTCTTGTGGGAGAAGAACAACAGCCAAGGAGTACAACTACCACAGCGCATGCGGTAATTAATAATCTCAACATGCAACCAAATTCGAGACAGCAAGGTCAAATTGAGGTTCCCTCGTTGCATGTACCTAATTACTCAAATGCAAGCCCCAGCGCTGTTACGACCCCTATCACTTCTGTTCTTCACCCAGCTGCAGGAATCGGTCGTATTGAAGGTAACCCTGCACTTACTAATGTTCTCAACCCTAACTTGGCTGAGGCACCCCCGTGGCTACAGGACATTATGGCAAATTTTCAGGGTCTTCATGCCAAAGCTGATATGCAGCATCAGAACATCCTGACCTTTACCGCAGAGGTTCAATCACAAGGGGTTAGGGTTTCCTCTCTGGAGAGTATTGCCAGTGAACACACGATAAAGCATGAACAAACAGATGAAAGGATTCGAAAACTGGAGTCACAGATCCAGGAGTTATCGGCTAAACTAAATGAAGCGGGCGACCTTGACAATGGACGATCACGATCCCCGGTCAGGACTGGACTTGGAACCCGTAGTGCATCCCCGAGATCTCCCCGACTTTCTCGCAGAGACAAGGATGCTGTAAGTGGTCCCCAAGGAGATGTTGATGATTTAGATGTTGTCATAGGAGGTTGGGCGGATGCCAAGAAGGCTGATGCTATTGCCGAAACCAAAAAACATCTTTGGGATCTTGAAACAAGACTCCCTTCCAGCTGATATTTGGTCCCCTTTTACCAGAACTAGCTTTGTCAAGGTGAAGTTGAACTATCCTGACCCCAACGCTCACATTTCAGTAAAGCGCCAGATTCAAACGAAGCTGGTACAGAAGTTCAAATCTATGAACTTCAAGTCAGGAATAGCAGGGTCAGAAGGTGGACAACTTTGGTGCACCAAATCGAAGACCCCTGGGGAAAGGGCTAAAATCCGGGCCATAGTCCTTGCGAAGACTTTCTATCAAACCCTCAAACCCAAAGGCTCCCAGAACAATATCCCTGCAGACGCACTTGAAATTTCATGGAATGGCAAGCTGTACTTCGAACAATTTCAGTTGTTGGGGTCAGTCGACAGGGACGGAGAGGCCAAGTCTTGGGATGTTTACATTGAAGACAGTAAAGGCAACCACATGGATTGGTATATCAAATCGGATGTCTTTTCGCTGATTACGGGTCAGAGGGCTGAGGAACTTCAGGAGTTGTGACTAAATTCGGGGCCCACTTCACCTGGGGCTCGGGCTTCAAGTTGACTACACGCGACACCAATTGATGGAGGGGCACAACTGTTTCACGGAATTGGATGGAATCTTCAGGGAAAAAATCTTGAGGATTTCAGAACTGCTTGGCCTACTTTAGGTATGGAAGGTGCGGATGCAATTGGTGTACAGGAATTAGGAGGTTTTTCGGATCTTGCATTGCCCTGGAAGATTGTGGATTGCGATTTGCAGGAGGGTTGGTCTTTCTATGTCACAAATCCTCCCTTGGCTTTTCGAGCAGTCGCAGTAGGTCTTCCGGGGTTTTTGGTGCCACACGTCAATCATGTACGCCCTCTGTCTTGTGGCATCTGTGTTACATTGAAATTAGATGGCTGCAAACAATTCGTAATTAGCGCACATCTTCCGCATCGGCAGCGACAGGACTGTATTGAAGTATGGCAAACTTTTGCAAGCGAATTAGATCAGATTCTAGTTCACAGAAGATGCAGTGACACAGTTCTCATTATGATAGACGCGAATTATGAGATTGGGCACCCAGAGAGTATGATGGATCCCAACACCTCGGATGCTAGGGGCCCTTTGATACATAGTATCCTTCAGAGTCATGGACTTGTGTCCACTTCTCCTGATATGTATACTTGGTCCAACAAGCGGGGATCCAGCTCCAAAATTGATTTTCTGTGGTTGGGATCGACTTGTCCTACCTTTAGGTCACAACAAGTCTTTCAGGATTCAGACGTTTTGCTTGGGTCGGATCACAGAGCAGTCTCTGCCTCCTTCTCGGTCTGGGGTATGCAGCGGAAGACACTGCGGAAACGTCGAAGACAGTTTTCTAGGTGTGGCAGATGGAAAGTTGATTCCCTCAAGCTCGTGACACAAGCAACCAGTCTTGCTGAGGAACTGGACTTAACAACAGGTGATCTCGATGAAGCCAAGCTAGCTTCTTTAGCGCAAGCTTGCTCCTTTAGGCCTAAATCTCTGAGATATGTCGACCCACAGCACATTCGCGATAAGATCCAACAACGTAGATTGCTTCAAGGTCGCCCGGCTCGGGATCTTGGAAAAGAAATTACTGCTTTGAGAAGGCAAGCTAAAAATGCATGGCTCCTTGAACTTTTGGATCGCGCCTCTAAAGGAGATTTTCATGCAATCTCTTATTTCAAGCGTCGTCAGTCTATTGTCACTACTCACTCTAACTATGTTGTAAGGGCAGGAGGCAAGCAAAAAGCTGTTGCTGATCTCAGGCAGCACTTTCTGTTGAAATACACCCCACCTGAACCAGTCCAAGACGATTTGCCTCTTCGTATCCTACATCGTTCGGGTGAGCCCCTTCGTGCCCCTGACTTGATTTCGTGTCAGGAAGTCATTGATGTTCTTAACACATGTAAATCAGGTAAATCCTGTGGGGACGACGGTATCTCTTATGAGTTTCTCTCTGCTCTTTTGTCCTCGGACTTGGCTCCTCACTTTGTCGATTTTTATAATTCGATCCTTTTTGGTACCTCCTCTATCCCTGATTCCTGGCTTGTTTCTCGCCTTACCTTCTTGCCTAAGATCCCTGTTCCTTCTCTTCCGAAACATCTCCGCCCCATTGTACTTTCTTCTACCCCTGGTAAGGTTTTTACAAAAATTCTCCTTTGTCGCCTTCGTCCGTTTTTCCCCTCTCCGATTGCTAATCAACTTGCATGTATCAAAGGCAGTCAGACCCTTGACGGGTCTGCTTGCCTTCAGCATATTGTCCGGTTAAGCCAAGAATATAAACTCCCTTTGATTGCTGTGAAACTCGACGTTGCGTCTGCGTTTGACAACCTCTCTCATTCCTCGGTTGCTTCCTTTTTATCCCAGTGTGGCCCAAGACTTGAAGCTCACGTTCTGTTAAAAATTATTATTCTTTCTCGTGTCAGTATTGGCATCTCCGATGTCTCGTGGGAACAAAAGCTACTGCGTGGAATCCTCCAAGGCTCGTCTTATTCGGCAGAAGTTTTTGCACGGACGGTGGATTTTTTCCTCGGCAATCTGGTGGCCCACTGGGATAAAACCGAACCTACTTGGGTACAATCTACGGACCCTTACGGCACTTTTCGTAGTCTTTATAACCTCCTTTTCGCAGATGACATTATTCTTTTGGCAACTTCTTATGCCCAGGCTGCTCGCATGTTGGACGATACTATGTCTACTTTAGCTACCATCGGTCTTTCTCTTGCCCTTGATAAGTGCAAATTCATTGTATCTCCTGACCTTGGTCATCACCCTTTTGTTGTAAAGGGCATTTCAGTTCCCAGAGTTCCTTCTTTCACTTTTCTTGGAGTACTGATTGGTTTCGGCATTTCCTGTCCTGCTGTGCTGAGCGCCAGACTTTGTATGGCACAAAATTCATTCTGGTCCTACTATCGTATTCTAAAGCGCCCCGCAGGTTTGCTTAAAACACGAATTTATCTTTTGGACACTTTCGTGACCTCCAAGTGGAGATGGTTATCGCCGTGCGTGCGCCCCGTCACCGAAATTCATAATATGTTGAAAGTCCTTCAAACCTCCCTTTTAACTTCAATTTGTGGGCTCTCATCTGACCCTTTTGTAACACAGGCAGCAAATTGGGTTACGCGTAGAAGAGCGAGTAGAATGATTGCCCAAATTGTGGGTCATAAAAATTGGCCAGGAGTACAAGCCTTTGCGTTTTTTCACTACTGGGGCCATGCAGCCCGTATTTGGACTTACCGCATATCTCCGATTACTATCGCGCTTCACATTAGGGACGGTTATTGGCTTGATGCTTTTGAAGGCTCGATCCGTAGGCGTTTGGGCTACTGGCCAAACTCCTATAGGTTTATTCAATTGGCCTACGACCGTTTTCGGATTCCCTCTGAGACCCCATACTGGCACGAAAAAGCCCTTCTCAAGGACGAGTGGAAAAGTTTTGTTTCTCAATGGCTAAAGTTCAAAAACCTTCAACCTCTTGTTTACTATTCGGATCTTACTTCCGTTGATCTATCAGGAAGATGTCTCTTGCAAGTCGGGGACAAATTTACTCTTTTGCCGTTTCGTCATGTGCCCGTCGAGACACCTTATAATACTGCGTATGAACTAATCCCTGAACCTCAAGCTGAGCAAGATTGTGCCTGCTTTCAAGTGTGTTCGGATGGCGGATCCAAAAGTAACCAAGGAACCATGGCGGTAACAATTTTAGCTCCCTATGCCACTCTGGAACAAGCAGTCATCTTCCAAGCCAGGATCCAAGAACCCTGTTCCAACAATCGTGCAGAGCTTTTAGCCGCTGTTGAAGCCATGAAGCATATCCGGCTCATTCTCCATAACTTCCCTACAATTCCTTTTGTGTACATGACTGACAGTATGCTGGTCATCCAAGTCATAGAAGAACTTTCTTCTATCACGTGTCATCCACACATTGTCCATGAATTATTGTATCT